AAAAGCAAGTCTTTTGTGCTGGAGAGTAGTTCTCCCTAAAGTGACGACTAAAGGGCTTGATTTGAGGTTTATAGCTAGAGTTGAATGCTAGATTTTTTTCCTTCAATTCTGCCTCTTATCCATGATTCCAGTAACTAGACAAAAAAGATGTCTGGGATAAAGCTACGAATACAACTGGGTTCATTTCCAGATTCAAATGATCCCTCTATCTCTGAAGCACCTTAGTTAACTTCTTCTGCCTTAGTGTCTCTGTCCATTAGCTGGAGATAATCATCCTATACAAGCATCATTCTAAGGGAGCAGACATTTGTATAAATGGAGTGGTGTCAAAACCTGGCTCTCAAAACTGGAGGGGGCCTCAGACATCATGTGATCTAAGTTCTTTGCTTTCATAAATGAAGCAACCGAGAAAGAAATTTCTATACAATTCTAATTATCTTGTCACTTTGTCAATATTAATTTATAAAGTCTTTCAATACTTCGATTGCAATCAGCAAAAACAATACATTCTCCACATTAGCAATTAGGAGAGAAGCTAAGGGAACTGCCAAGAAACCAAACCAAATGCACAAAGATTATACAGCAGAACAGAAACCAGACCCTTATATGAGCACTTTTATTCCTAGAGCTCTCTCGACAGCACTTTCAGGATTTTCACTGTCACTGTGGATTGCTGTTTCAAGCCTTCGCTTTATCTGGAAAAACAAGCCTTTGCTGAAGAGTGGGTCTCTCATCTGCATCTGAGGCACACCCAGGGCACCTGGAGTTAGGGCTAATGAATTTCTTCAGTCTTTCCTTGATTCTTTTCATTAGCATGTATGCAAGCAGAATTAACCTAATATTTAAAATTGACAGCTCCATAAAGCTGAAAAAGACCTCAAGTGGCAACCTAGTCCAGTTACGAGTCTTTGAGAAAGTTATTTGCACAGGTCAGGAAAGTAAACGGCTGATACCAAGCAACTACAGGGATACAAAGCCTACAACTTCTAGCTGAAGCAAGTACCATCCGGGGATACCCAGGACTACATCAAATTCCTTTTATGTCTTGTATCTATTTATTTTCTCAACTATTTTCTTCGGTTCTGAACTTTGCTGAATAGGACCAGAAACTTCATGTTAATTCTCTATACTACTTTAGATATGCTAAAATATAGCTTCTTTATCTTCAATGACATATAGATACAGTTCTCCCACACTAGTGCCTGTAATGAGATTGGTTATTTAGCACCCATTCATTTCACACCCACTGGTTCTCTCTTTGTTTTTTGGCTGACTCCCCCCATTAAAATGTAAGCCCCACAGAGGAGTTGGGAGTAGTCTGTTTACAGCTATGTCCCCATGGCTACAAGAGTGCCTACATAATAGCAGAGGTCAAAGATAATTGTGGAAGGAAGGAATTAAAATTTTCTTTGGCATTCATCACATGTATATTGGCTTCCCTGATAGCTCAGTTGGTAAAGAATCTGCCTGCAATGCAGGAGACCCCAGTTTGATCCCTGGGTTGGAAAGATCCCCTAAAGAAGGGAAAGGCTACCCACTCCAGTATTCTGGCCTGGAGAATTCCATGGACTGTATAGCCCATGGGGTCACAAAGAGTCAGACATGACTGAGCGACTTTTACTTTCACGTGTATATATAAACTGGACACTCAAAAATACACTGTTGTATTTTATTATAGGAGCAGTGTGTGAAGTTAAAAGTAGAGGAATTACAGAGGGAGTGTTAGTCTGAGAGCCAGGATGCAGTACATTTCATCACGGGGCGGCGGGGGGAACCCACTGCTTTTCTCTGGCAAGAGACTGTTTCTGAATATCCCAAAATGGCCTGGTAATAAAACTCTCTGCAAATGTATTTTACTAGTTGGTGATAAATCAAAGCTGTTCTTTGTAAACGTTATAGCATAATTTCTGAAAGGAATTTAAGAAGTTTCCCACTGGAAACTTGTGTTCTACACAAACATGCATAAATCACCACCAGATAGGGCCACTGAGCCTTGAATTCCAAGTCTGCTACCCCATCAACATTCTAACTGCTCTCTGAGTGAGGCTGAAGAAATACAGCAGGAAGACAGAGCAACGCGAAATCAGGCCAAATGACCTAAGTCCTCGTGCCAGGCCTAAGTGATGGTGAGGTAAGCATAAAATGACCATGAGGTTCTGGCAGGTGTCTACATGAACCTTAGGGGCTCCACAGCTAGAATTCTACAGCTCTGTGACATATTTTGAAAGGAAAGGGTTGATATAAATCTCTTTGGACCAAAGCATTTTAGTGATGAAAGACACTTCAGAAATCACTTCATGTATTACTGCTCAAAGTCTCAGGCTGGTTCACTAACAGAGTCCAGAACCAGGACCCAACACTTCAGAATCTCATCTGAGTACCCTTTCTACTCTGCTAGCTGTGTGTTCTCCTTTCTCAGAAGGTCATTTCTTACAGAAGTAAGTGTTCTCGGCTGTAAGACTGAAGGACCACCGAGAGATCCGTGGGGCATGACAGAACCCTGGCAAAAATCCAAATGGGTTCTGCCCACTATACCATCGACTCCTCATTCCAAGAATTGACAGCAAAGAGCTGTGTGACCAACACCACTGTTTCCTTGGATCATCTCCTCTTTTCAAAACTGTTTTAGAGGCTTGACCAACAACGCAGGTTTGTGGTTCTGAACTTCTCAGGCTGCAGAGGCTCTGGGGCAGGAAACGTGGATACGAGGCCAGATATGAGCCCAGGAGAGGGGGTGGAGAGGGCGGGGGAGGAAAGTGGAGATGACCCCCCTAACTCCCAGGGGCAAATAATAACTATTTGACACATGGAATTTGTCTTTGAAGAAAGTGGGGAGACAAAGTCATCATCCTAGCTCTGTGGCTCTCAAACCTGGCTATGCACAGAATCACCTGTGGAGTTTTCAAAGACCATAAGGCTTGGGTCTCAACTTAGGTCAACTGAATCAGCATCTCTGTGGTGGGACTCAAGATATCGGTATTTTGAAAAATGCCCCATGTGCTGCTAATGATGCAGCCACAGATAAGATCTATGACTGGTCTATGACGTGTCACATGATACCACAAAAATGAAAAGACAAATCCAAGATAATGTTATATGCATCTTAACTGCATAAAACCGTGGGGAGCCTCCCAACCATCTAAAAGCTCCGTGCCAGCCCCCAAAAGTTCTAGTCCTCCACAGCCATGCGGGCACAGTCTTAAAAAGATCTTGTCACCTGCAAAAGAAAGCCTGGAACAGAAGGACCAAACAGCTTTTCAAAAATCCTAAAATATAAGGAAATTAAGGAAGAAGTTCACCTAGATTGTCTTCTGTATTTTCAATGATCAGGAGAAAAGGCACTCTTAATTTTCCTTCAAAAGAAGTATGTATCATGTATTCAGGACAGGCTTACTGTTGGCAGGGTGAAGAAGGTAAAAAAGTCAGTGAAAAACTGTCATGCCTGTTCTAGCTCCACTCAAGCTCCCATCGGTGCAGTGCTCCAAAAACACTACTAAGCTGGAGATGGAGAATAGCTGTGGCACCCCATTAGTTAAGTGAGACACTCCTAAGATATAAACCAGGTGTCAACTTTCACAGAGGTGGTTGCCTCGCTACACAGGTAAGGGACTCACTTTCTCCATGACGTAAGGAGCCTTGTAGATGCTACTGAAAGCACACCAGTCACACGGACTAAACTGTGGTCAACACAAACTGAGTACATGATATCCTGAATGGTAATCTCATGAAGTAAGAACAGCCACGCCTGGAAGAAAGCAGGTCAAGCCTAGTAAGCATGATAGGATTTACCTGTTTCCACTATCCTAGTCTCTGTTTTTCTTGAAAACCTGTTAACACAAGCATATCTGCTTTGAAAAGATGAAAAAAAAAAAACCTAAGACATAGAAGAAACAGGACAGCAAATAATGTCCTTTGCTCTGTTTCCCCTAAGGTAGACTCATCGTAATGCAGACGTAGGAAAAATCAGTAAGAAGGATTTTCTCTGTGGACTCCATCTGATACATAGTGTGTTGCCCCCATCCTCCCCACTTTGAAACAGAAATCGTTATTCCTGACAGAAGCATCTCGAGACAAAACATACTGCATCCCCTCCAGGGAGGGGAAGGGGTTAAATAGGAGCAGCCGTCACCACTGACCAGGGAAGTGGTGCAGACTTACACCTCCAGCCCCCAGCTCCTCCACTCACAACAAACTGGTTTTCTTGCTTCTTGCCTTCCATGTAATTCTCCTGGGCTAGGAATGCCCAATGATATCTGTCCTATTTCTGGGAAGATGGAAGACAGAGCTGCTTGATTTTCCTCTAACATTCCAAAATGCTTCAAGTCAGAACCTGAACCTTGAAAGAAAAGGAAATCTTTGCAAACAGCTTCAGTCTTTGCCTGGTCACCAACAGATATCCAGTTACCAGACTCAAATAGTTTTTCAATTTTAAACAATGAAGGATTATGCATTCATTCATTCATTCATCCATTCATTCCACAAAGGATGGGTTTTTGTGCCTGGTGCTACCAGAGAGGAAAGGTAGGCACACAGAAGATTATGATATGAAAATAAGCATAATAAGTGTCATGTGGATCAAATCATTTAGGAAAATCATTAGCAGGTTGCTTGTAAGCATCTCCAACATTTTTTGCTTTTAAAACTCAGTTTGATACGGTAATAGAATACTATATGAATTGTTTTCTATTCTATTCTTAATTCAGGTAATAACAAAAATACATTATCTCATATTTCTATTCCACTCAATTAAGTAAAATTTTTTTTCTGCTTGCATCTTAACATCAATTAGTAATCACTTGAACCTGTCCTTTCTGAGTATAGGTCTCGTCTATTGGGCCATGCACCTACACTTTAACAATGGAGTGACTTTTGTGGCAAAAAGATGGGGAATAACTCGCATCTCTTGCTTAGTTAACTTCCCCAGCCTCTGGCAGGTACAGGAATGTAAGAATCAAGATCAGGCTCATCCCAACCCGAACCATTTATTTCCTCCCATGTACCTTTCTCCCTCACTGCCACTGGGGCCATGTGGACGACCACCATATGGCTCCACCCGGCTCCATATTGCTCCAGCTCCCTAAAAGGGGTGCTCAAGAACATAAAAACGCTGCTGTATACTTTTATTGCAGCCCCTTCTCATTTTCCTCCATCTGTCTTCCATATGTTTACGAGACTCTATTAGACCCCTGAATACATAGGCCTTTTATAATGAGGGTTGCCAGCCTGAACAAGATAAAGAACTGAAATTCACCTCTATCAGTGACAAGGGGCCACAGCTACTTTAAAATATGTGATTCATTTGGTATTCAAACTAGAACAAACTCATAATCACTTTTCTTCCATTTTTACATGAAACTGATCTTATATTTATGAGATTTCTTTTAGTTTTATCAACAAAAGCCACATATGGGTCTTTCTGTTGTATTTTCTCCAAGTGCTGTTCATGAAGTTTGGAAGAACTGTGTGTGACTTCTACTTAGGTGTCCCTATGATATTACACATCCATCTCTCTCTAAAGTTGATTTTTTCATTTTCATAAAACTCCTTTGATCAGAGGAAGTATTGTTACCATTTTCCCCCTCAGGTGTCTCTGCAAACACATAAAGTTTCACATGTGTCCTCTGCAAATGCTAAGGAAATGAGTAGGAGTGAGGAGGGGCTGACCCCAGCAGGACTGAGGCCACCCCACTGAGTCCTGGTCCTCTCTGCTTTGCTCAGCACCTGGCAAGAGCGACACATTAGACCCCAGTGTTTCTATAATCTAAAACAAACTAGGAATAACAGTCATGACACAACAGGTACAACACCATTTCCCAACAGGAGGAAACCACTGGCATTACTAAGAGGGATCAGGGTGACTTTTCATTCCCAGTGTTAAGTATGGGAGCTTGTTAGTAGGCACCAGGACTTCCCTGGAGGCTCAGTGATAAAGGATCTGTGTGCCAATCCAATAGACACAGGTTCAAACCCTGCGTCGGCAAGATGCCCTGCAGGAGGATGATAAAGGCTCTGTGTGCCAATCCAACAGACACAGGTTCAATCCCTGCATCGGCAAGATGCCCTGCAGGAGGAAATGCAATCCACTCCAGTATTCTTGCCTGGGAAATCCCATGGACAGCGGAGCTTAGCATGCTACAGTCCACGGGGTTGCAACAGTCGGACACAACTGAGCGACTAAACAACAACAACAAGGCCATCTTTCACAAAAAACCAATGATAGAACAAAGGAAAAAAAGAAACCAAGGAGGCCTAGTATTGAGTTCGGTAACCTCTGCTCCTATTTATACAACTTAGACATAAAGTCCTGTGCTACAGAACAAAACTGCAGTGCTATTAAGAACAAGCCATTGAATCTCCCAACCTGGTACCCATGTTCAAAGGTGTCTTCATGGCAGATAACCTGTCTGTAATCAAGTCCAAACCACCTGTGTAAAGCGGTCTGGTAATCGGTACACAGAAAATTATGGCCGGTTCCACAATGACCACCTCTGATGAAGCAGAACTTGGCTTCTGCTTCAGTTTACTGAATGTGCAAAATACTCAATTGTGCATTATTACTCAATTGTGCAAATATTACTCAAATGTGCAAAATATTAATACACAGACAAGCAAAAACCACCCAGCAAATGCCATAAGAATACATTTTTCTTTTAGCTCGTCTGTGTATAAATGGCTACTGCCATTTTTCCCCCCAAACATGCATAAGGCAAAGTAAAGTTTTTATTTGAATTGTGAGGTCAAACAATAACACTATTGGTAGGATGCATGATGGAGTCATTTTGCCTTTTTAAAAACTCAATTGCATATTTCATGTATCTTTGTTCCTCTTAATGTCCTTCATAATGCAGCACAGATCAGTTAAGTTCAGACAAAACTGCCAGGACCCAAGGAAACTCTTGTTCTCACCTGAGCTATCCTTTCAAAATCCTTCCTGCATGGGAAAAACTTAAGGAGTGAGTTATCAGTACAAAGTATTGTACCAGTACAACCCCCAAATGCCTTTCATTGATGCAGTCCATGTACTGCAAACTGTGATCATGACAGGTGCTATGGTGGCAGCAAAAAGTGCATTTGAGTCAGGGGATCAAGTTACAGAATTCAGGCTAAAGCCAGAGGCCTATTCATTGGGATAACTGCTCCAGGCTGAAGCAAATTACAAATCCTGGTTAAAAGAATCCAGCACTGCCCTGTGTGATGAAGGAAGTTTAGGTAGATTTATGCAGGGGTAGCATTTCCAGAAGTGCAAGGGTGAAAAAGATAAGCAGGTATTTTCCCTGCGTATTAAACAGAAGGACAGGAATCTGACCAAGAAGACTTCAGTGAATAATCATTTCTAGTCTGAGAAGCTATGAGTCTCATATTCTGCACAGTAGGGCTTGCTCTGAGCAGTTTGTGAAACACTTGGAAAAACGCAGAAGTTGCCGCTAAGCTTCTAGTTGCTGAATAGTTGCATTAATTGTTGACATTTTGGCAGGGAAGCTCCTCCTGCCACCTCAGAGCTTCCCACCAGCTAGGTAAATGCTTGCTGGTAACCCCCATCTCCCTTGTAATCCTTCCCATTCAACACTGGCTACTGGATGCTGGCCTCTTGTCAACTGCCTTTAGGTGAGATTTGGTAAATATGCCTTTCATTGATGCAGTCCATGTACTGCAAACTGTGATCATGACAGGTGCTATGGTGGCAGCAAAAAGTGCATTTGAGTCAGGGGATCAAGTCACAGAATTCAGGCTAAAGCCAGAGGCCTATTTATTGGGATAACTGCTCCAGGCTGAAGCAAATTACAAATCCTGGTTAAAAGAATCCAGCACTGCCCTGTGTGATGAAGGAAGTTAAGGTAGATTTAAGCAGGGGTAGCATTTCCAGAAGTGCAAGGGTGAAAAAGAAAAGCAGGTATTTTCCCTGCGTATTAAACAGAAGGACAAGGAATCTGACCAAGAAGACTTCAGTGAATTATCATTTCTAGTCTGAGAAGCTATGAGTCTCATATTCTGCACAGTAGGGCTTGCTCTGAGCAGTTTGTGAAACACTTGGAAAAATGCAGAAGTTGCCGCTAAGCTTCTAGTTGCTGAATAGTTGCATTAATTGTTGACATTTTGGCAGGGAGGCTCCTCCTGCCACCTTAGAGCTTCCCACCGGCTAGGTAAATGCTTGCTGGGAACCCCCGTCTCCCTTGTAATCCTTCCCATTCAACACTGGCTACTGGATGCTGGCCTCTTGTCAACTGCCTTTAGGTGAGATTTGGTAAAAAAAAAAAAAAAAATTGCCAGCTAAACAAGAATACGTGCCTTCCTAACATTTTCTTTGTACAGCCACTTACCAAGCGTCTGCTGGGATCTCCATGCGTCCATTTACTGGATTTAAACAAAACGACAGGAGGCTAAGGGGGAGGCGCACAAAGGTCTGCTGGCTCAGCCCACCCCCGCGTTGCTGCTTTGGCTAGGGAAGGAGACTTGCCCCTCGGGAAACTGATAACGGCGCTATAGCCCTGAGTCTGGAAGAAGCGGGAGACACCCCCCTGCCTTACCTGTTTCTTTGTCCTGGACTTCTTCCAGGTGCAAGTCATTCAAAAGGTGCTCCAAGATCTTCTCCGGGGTCCCGGACACGACCACGTATCTGTCAGAGAGCAGAGAGTCCACCGAGTCCTCCTCAGTGGAGGACTGTGAGCGGCTGCTCCACTCCTCGTCCTCATCCTCCTCGTCAATGTATTTGAAATAAGGCACATCGAAGGTGGGCAGGGGCAGCTCTCGGTCTGCCAGCGCGGCAGCGGCGGGATCCTTTCTTTCTAAGTGAGGGTCAAAGACCCTCAGCCGGGAGCTGCCCATTCTGCACGGCCACTAACAAAGGCATCCCCTAGATGCTCAGGGATCTTGCCACCTCTGTCCTTTTGCTGGGATCCGAGTCCATCTGGCTGCTAGGAGCTCTGCAGTCAGCTAGAACGCTAGCTAGCTTGCTCGAGAGGCGGAGAAAAAAAGGGAGGGAGGGAGGGAAGAGGAGGCAGAGAGAGCGAGTGAGATGGAGCGGGAGAAGGGGAGGCAGGCAAGGAAAGGAAACAGAAGCGCGGGGCTCCAGTGAAAACTCTCACCTCCAATCGCTCTCGGCGCTCCCCGCCTGGGGGGCTGGGCCGCAGCTCTGCACTTTCTTCAGCACCAGGACATTCTGGTCCTGCTCTTTCACCTCAACAGTCGTCACTTCATCATCCTGCTTTAATTGCCGACAGGAGTGATGGATGGAAGAAGGAAAAAGGGAGAGAAGATTAAAAGGCAAAAAAAAAAAAAGCTAACAAAAGCTGCAATCTCTCAAGTTGCTTTCCCACCTAATCACTTTATGGATTCAGAACAAATTAGGAATCTGGTCAAGAATCTCTGTCTAATGGTACTGGGTCCAGGATCAAGTTCTTTGGACACATAAAGCATTAGAAAGACACATACTTTAAAGGAAACTAAACTGAAAAAAAGCACAGTGAGGATGGGAGTCGGGAGTTCATTTTTAAAACTACTTGAATGATCTGAATAAAGAAATCCAAAGTTCAAAGTCTCAGAAACACAAAACACTAATTGCATGTGTATTATTCTTTTACCTGGTTACTGCTTCTTAAACAGTCACTATATTAAAATTGGAAAACCATACAAAACATTAAAACAATGAGCAAGCCATATTAAGTAGATGCAATGGCTATGTATTGTCATTTACATCACAGTCTTACTTTAAAAGGTGGGCAGAAAACTACTCATTCTATTCTTCGGTTCATCCCTCTGCCCAAGCAAATTTGAGATGGCCTTCACATTTATCATGTACTTGTTTTGCCAGGATACAAGCGAAAAATGGATCCTCTAGTCAGAATCTCATCTGGGCTGATATTCGGGTGTCACGGGTGAGTGCACTGACTTTCTTCACCTCGGTCACTTTTAACACGGACAGAAGGCCAAACAAGCACTCATTTCTGCAGACACAGCTTCCGCAGCCAGAGCCCAGCATGGCCCGCTGACGAGGCTCTGCTGGGGTCGGGCTCACTGCTGACCCAGCAGTGTGGAGCCACCCCGAGTGATGAACACTTTCAGAGTGTGGAGTGTGAAATTCTGATTGGCAACATCCAGCCAGAGGAAATTATGGGGGGAGAGGGGGGCAGGGGGGTGTGTGAGAGACACACACGAGAAAATTTAACTTCTGTATCTCCGAGGATCTGAGCAAAAGATTGATGCAAGAAGCTGAGAGCCTACAAGCATCACCTTAAAAATGATGCTACAAAGGGAAACAGGTCCTGGGGTTCCAGGCATGTTTCTATGTTCCTGCTCCTGGCAGAAAACCTACATAAATTAGGTATAAACACACAAAAAGAACATTTTGCCCCAAGTAGATAAAAAGTACTATGTCTCCATGCCTTATTAATCAGTTTTCCACTGATTAACTGGAGATGCCAATGTATTTTATTCACCTTCCATAAGAATAGGAAGGCACTATTCTTGTCATAATTGCCAACCAAGTCAATGGGAATACTAAGATTTCAACTCCCAATGTTCTCATTTCTAAGAAAATGTAGCAACCTACTCATTCGAGTTCTCCAAGATCTTAAAAATAAAAACTACTAGTCATTCCAAACAGCAATATAATTTTATGATCATGCCTTTTTAATCTCTTAGTGGCAAATAATTTTACTATGTAAAACTGATGTATTACATTTCAGCAAGGTCAGACACGCAGTTACTGTGGCAATTAATGCTGGATATTCATTGTTAAAGTCCCCGAGGATGGCAGCGACTCCTGTAACATGAATACCAATGTGTAATTGCTATCTTTCATTTCTCCAAGGAGGTTCTTTTGTTATCCATGTGGCTGAAGTGAAATAAGGTGGCTGGAAAGATGAGCATAATATTGACCCCAAAAAAAGTGGGGGGGGGGGTGGCAAAATGGAGTCTGGGATACTGAGACACAGAAGCAGATAATTCAGTAAAGAGCAGGTCTGAAAGGACAAAAAGCTTCCTCTGGCTTTCCTCTTGTCGTAAGCCAATACTCGTTTTATATGAGCCCGCTGTCATTTTGAAGTACATTTTACATTCTACGTGCATGTGATATATGGCATTATTAACTTCCGCAGGCCATGTGCATACATATGGATGGGTGGAGTTCATTTTTAAAACTACTTGAATGATCTGAATAAAGAAATCCAAAGTTCAAAGTCTCAGAAACACAAAACACTAATTGCATGTGTATTATTCTTTTACCTGGTTACTGCTTCTTAAACAGTCACTATATTAAAATTGGAAAACCATACAAAACATTAAAACAATGAGCAAGCCATATTAAGTAGATGCAATGGCTATGTATTGTCATTTACATCACAGTCTTACTTTAAAAGGTGGGCAGAAAACTACTCATTCTATTCTTCGGTTCATCCCTCTGCCCAAGCAAATTTGAGATGGCCTTCACATTTATCATGTACTTGTTTTGCCAGGATACAAGCGAAAAATGGATCCTCTAGTCAGAATCTCATCTGGGCTGATATTCGGGTGTCACGGGTGAGTGCACTGACTTTCTTCACCTCGGTCACTTTTAACACGGACAGAAGGCCAAACAAGCACTCATTTCTGCAGACACAGCTTCCGCAGCCAGAGCCCAGCATGGCCCGCTGACGAGGCTCTGCTGGGGTCGGGCTCACTGCTGACCCAGCAGTGTGGAGCCACCCCGAGTGATGAACACTTTCAGAGTGTGGAGTGTGAAATTCTGATTGGCAACATCCAGCCAGAGGAAATTATGGGGGGAGAGGGGGGCAGGGGGGTGTGTGAGAGACACACACGAGAAAATTTAACTTCTGTATCTCCGAGGATCTGAGCAAAAGATTGATGCAAGAAGCTGAGAGCCTACAAGCATCACCTTAAAAATGATGCTACAAAGGGAAACAGGTCCTGGGGTTCCAGGCATGTTTCTATGTTCCTGCTCCTGGCAGAAAACCTACATAAATTAGGTATAAACACACAAAAAGAACATTTTGCCCCAAGTAGATAAAAAGTACTATGTCTCCATGCCTTATTAATCAGTTTTCCACTGATTAACTGGAGATGCCAATGTATTTTATTCACCTTCCATAAGAATAGGAAGGCACTGTTCTTGTCATAATTGCCAACCAAGTCAATGGGAATACTAAGATTTCAACTCCCAATGTTCTCATTTCTAAGAAAATGTAGCAACCTACTCATTCGAGTTCTCCAAGATCTTAAAAATAAAAACTACTAGTCATTCCAAACAGCAATATAATTTTATGATCATGCCTTTTTAATCTCTTAGTGGCAAATAATTTTACTATGTAAAACTGATGTATTACATTTCAGCAAGGTCAGACACGCAGTTACTGTGGCAATTAATGCTGGATATTCATTGTTAAAGTCCCCGAGGATGGCAGCGACTCCTGTAACATGAATACCAATGTGTAATTGCTATCTTTCATTTCTCCAAGGAGGTTCTTTTGTTATCCATGTGGCTGAAGTGAAATAAGGTGGCTGGAAAGATGAGCATAATATTGACCCCAAAAAAAGTGGGGGGGGGGGTGGCAAAATGGAGTCTGGGATACTGAGACACAGAAGCAGATAATTCAGTAAAGAGCAGGTCTGAAAGGACAAAAAGCTTCCTCTGGCTTTCCTCTTGTCGTAAGCCAATACTCGTTTTATATGAGCCCGCTGTCATTTTGAAGTACATTTTACATTCTACGTGCATGTGATATATGGCATTATTAACTTCCGCAGGCCATGTGCATACATATGGATGGGAAGGGCTTCTCTAATGTCTGTGTAGCTAATATGTATTACAGGGCTGTGCATGGAGCAGCTACACTCTGCTGGGCAGGGGACTAGCTGAACCACATTGATGCACTATCAATAGCATCTTATGTCACAGTGGTAGTTTCCATTTTGAAAACCTGTTAAAAAATAAAGAAGCGAAAAAGCAGAAAAATCAATGTATAAAGGGAGATGGAAGTTATCTAAAATTGCCGTGAAAACATAATAATCCTATGTATTATATCTGCTCTCAAGAAGGAAGGTGAGATTAATGCCTCGCGTCCAACATATGCCAAACTGCTCTTCCTGAAAAACAGCAGAAGTACCAGAGTTGAGGCTCTGGTCATGAAACTTCATTCTGGTGCTTGTTCAGCTAAGAATAAAGGTATTCAGTGAACTAATGACAATAAATGCATTCAATGACAAATAGTTTGTGAAATGCAAGTACAGCATTAAGATGCTTAACTTATAGACAATCATTCAACAGACAGTGGAGGGGGGCGGGTTTCCTGTGGGGAAGGTGTTGTGCCAGCCACTAAAGGGGCAAGCGGAGGTGAGTAAGACTGGTGCCCTGCCCTTAGATGACAAGGTGATAGCTCCATAACGCAAGTCTAATGTGGTGAGCTCCCCAAGATGAGGCCACATGCAAGAAGCAAAAGCGAAGGTAGAACTCATGGGATTTGACTGTCAAAGGTGACAGATCAAATCCCACAGCTGTGGGTGACAGAGAATGGAAGTGCCATTAAATGGGGCAAAAAAACTGGTTCTGCTGAGACTGATGGATCTGGTTTCAGACAACTGATGTTTCAGGACTGACAATACATCACGCTGTAGATGTTTAGCAAGCAGTTAGAAATAAAGAACGAGGCCTCTGTACAAACGCCAAGGACAGAGACAAATCTGTGAATTATTCCAGTTAGGGAGTGGGTGAGACTGTTAAAGGGAAGCAGGAGAGAAAGGGGATTACGAAGATGGATAAAGGAAGAGAAAACATAGAAGTAGAGAGGAAAAGAGACGGATCAGAGTCACGAGGAAACCTACTAAAGAGATGTGAAGAAGTGAAACCAAGATGAGCCAGGAGGAGATGGAGGGCAACGAAAAGCTTATCTGATGTCATCAAGCTTACGAAGATGAAGAGTCTACGAGAAAGTGATGACAAGACCACGGTTAAGTCCAGCGGTGGGAAGAGGAGTGCTGAGGTCTGGGGGGACATGGAGGAAGTGCACAGACGAGAAAGACCTCCTTAGAATGTCACCAGGAAGGGAAGGAGGCCGGCTGAAGAGGCTGCCGGGCTGGGGAAGTGGGGAGGTGAGGGGTGATGGAAAAGAGGCAAGATAGGTCAGGAACAGGTGTGGAGGGGTGAGGCTACCACAGGACCAAGAGTTCCTCCTTTCAGAGAGTATCAGGGCAAAGGAAACAATGGAGGTTTAGGGG